CTCCCGATTGCGATCGCCCAGGGCCTGCGAGGGCGAGGAGAGGAAAAAGAAACGCCCCGTGAGATCAGCAGCTGTGACGCCCGGAACGCTCAAGCAGACAGAGCGACCCGGCTTTTGTTTCCTTACTATGTCAGGGTCAAATTCCTCCACGGGACAAGCCTCGGTGCTGCCGTTGGTAGCGGAGTTACTGTAATCGAGTACTTTGGCATTAGAGTTCCCCAGATCCCACACTCGGGGCTTCTTGCCCTTCTCCTTCTGAGCTTCAGGCTTTGGAGATTTGCTGGAAGAAACGCCAGAAACGCTTTTGGTTCGGTGCAGCCATCACCTCTTTAGAAAGCATGAAAATTAAAAGCCTGGATTACCCAAAAAAGTTAGAAATTAAGGCCAAACCTGGTCGATTTGGTTTCCAAAGTTTATTTTTCTGAACTTTAACCCCGGGCCACAGCTGCGGGATGCCAGGAAAAGGCGCTTTGAAGCACAGGTGCATCCTTGTTACCCACCTGGACTTCTCCCCGGCTTTCATGTGTCTCTTGAAGAATTCCTCCCGGTTCTTTTGCAAGATTTCATCCTTCGTCAGCTCCTCCCTGTCGCCGGCTGCAGGGGGTTGCTTGTCGCCCGCTGGCGCTTTACCGGGTGCTGCCACAGCTTCAGTTCCTGATGGAAAGAGCCCCAACGTGAGCTCAGACCAAGAGGGTTGGGACAGCACAGGCTGGGCTGCCGAGCTCCGGAATATTCCCCCCATGGACCTTCCTCATCGACTCACCCTCTTTTTTGGAACCTTTGCTCTTCTTGTTCTTGACTTTCTCCTTTGGTTTCTCCCCTCGGGTTTCTATCATACACTTGACAGTCTTCTGGGACTTCAGAGACTGCTCAAATGTTTTCATTACCGTGGGAGCTCGGACTTTGCTGCTCTCCTCTGCGTCCCTGCGGGGAAGGTGGCCTGTTAGCCTCGATTTCAGCTCTGCCCCCACCCTTGCTCTAAACGGAAACTCGAGAGAACAAACAGGCTCTGCTACCGGAGGAGGCGGAGGAAGTCATCTTTAAAATCAAAGGTGCCGTTTAGGAGGCCCAGGGTGCCTTTCTGCTGGAACTCATTGCGATACTTGTCCCTGAACTCCTTGTGAACGTCGTCTATCAACTTGTCGACATAGGTTAGAGTCAGGATCTTCTGAAACCCCACCTGGAAAACAGCAGAGCGACAAGACGTTGTGCTTTCAGCTCGTTTAATCGCGGCGTCGAGCTGGCAGGGAAGTGAAACCCTCTCTGGTTAGCACGGAATTCTTTAACTACAGCAGGTTTCAGGCTCTGTTTTCTAGTCTGGCTTTGAACATGCTCTCAAAAAGGGGAAAAAAAAAAAAAAAGGAAAAAAAAATGGCACAGTCCGGAGCTTTGCTTTTAAAAGCTGTCACCAAAAAAAAAACCATGGGTTGACTGTTTTCACAGCAACAGTGAAAGACCAAAAAGGCTTTTGCTTATCTTTAGGTACACAACAAAGGTTGCACGGATTTATAGTGATAAGGCATGGTGAGATTAAAAAAGGGAACGTTAAAAGGTCCCTAAAAGTAAAGGGGATGACTCGTCTTGAGCTTTTTTATGTCATTGTGGTCAATGTAAAAAGTTTTGTAGGGATACAACAGCCTGTACAGCTTCTCTTTGAGGCTTAACGAGTTTTAATCCTATCGCAGATGATTAAAATAAGCTGCTACCGCCGCAGCATATGACCGCCAGACACCCACGCCCTCCCGCCAAGCTCCCTGGGGCAGGAAGCGCAGGAGCGGGCAGCGTGGCGACGCCAGGATGGCGAAAGCACAATCCCCATCGTGCTGCTTCCCAACCGGCACCAGCTCTTCCACGAAACCAACGGGCCCCAGTTTCCCCACCTTGACGCGGGCAGCAGCTGGCGGGGTGAGAAGGAAAAAAGGAAAAACCTTTTGTGAGCTTGTCGGCTCCCAACCTGCCCGTTTTCCCACGCGGCACCGATAAA